AAACTATTTGAAATACCATGAAAGAAATCAATTTTTCTATAAAACTTTAAGTATGTTAAATTTTATTTAGTACTGTTATGCCTTTTATTATACTTAATGTCTTTATTTTGTTATGAACGATTGATCAATATATATTTATCTATTTTTTTAATTCTATCTATTTCTCCATTTCTTCATTACTTCTCTGCCAGCTTGATATAGTTCTTTTAGATTTCACTATTATATTGTTATTTTATAAGTTTTCATTACTTTTTAAGCAAAAAATACTCTTGCGTATATCAAATATATTCTGAAATAAGGTTTTAACATTTCAAGGACTTTTACTAATAATGGAAGTACTAATATAAATTAAATACCTAAATAATTTGATATACAAATATTAAAGATCAAAAACAATAATAACAATAACAATAAGAATTATAACAGTATTAACAACAACAACAACAACAACAACAACAACAACAACAACAACAACAACAACAACAACAACAACAACAACAGCAACATAATATATAACAACAACAACAACAACAGCAGCATAATAATAATAGCATTTATCAATAATAATTACAGCAAATCTTATTTGTAAAATAGAAGTATGAATTATTGACTGCATTTTTATAATAAGATGTGAAATTTACTAGTTTTATGGGTTGAAAATAAAATGATAACTTTTATTTCATAAGGAAGGTTGTTTCGAGTTTTAATGCTTTGGTAATTTATTTATGTGCATAAGATTTATTTTTACTAATATTAGATTATGTTTTAACTACTATTGGATCAACGATGATAACGATGATAACGATGATAACAATGATAACGATGAGCGATGATAACGATGAACGATAATAACGAGTGCATTTTTGGCGAAGAAGTTGATAAAAGTTAAAGGTTGGTTTTTGTGTTTGTGGTTCCAGACAAATTAACAGTTTAAAAGATAATTATAGTCCATTAGTTTTAATACTTCAGAAGTATAAATATAAAGTACAATTGTATAAAGATTTACTAAATAAAAAGAGATTATATTAGTGAAAAATAAATAATAATTAACAAAACTAATTTATTTTTACTGTTTAAACAAAAAGTAACTTTTTAGAACCACCATTTGTTGATAGCCCAAAACATCCTTTCATTGTTTGTAATTGGATTCAATTTCCGTCAAACAAATGCTTTAATATTTCTTCAACCTCTTTTTATAAGCAACATTTTTATTGTTAAGAATTGTTTTGCGACATTATTCAAAAAAATTGAATAGAAACCATACATCATAAATCATATTTGTAAAATTTTAAACTATAAAGTATCAAATATCTTAACATAATTCTTGTGGGTTTAAGTTATTTTAAATAATCTTCCTCATGTTTAACTAAAGATTTAAAAACCAAATTTAAAAAAACATTTAAACTAAAATAAAAATATCTTTTTCAAAGAACTAGTTAGTCAATCAAATTAGTTTTAAACAAATTAGTTTTGTTTTTAATATACTTTGTTATTTAAAAAATTTTGTTTATGGTTAAATAAATTATATTAAATCCATTCATCGAAATTGGCAACGAAACATTCAATATAATTTATATACAACGTTAGTTAATTTATTTATTTATGAGTTTCCTTTTGAATAAACTCTTAATTAAATGAACTTCAAATAAAGCAAATATCCAACTTTAGATTTTATTTTTTGTTCTTTAATTTTACTTTGTGATTACATAATAAAGATTTCTTAACAATTTATATGTAAAAATAAAACAAACAAACTCGGACGTAGTTTAAATAAAGATAAAAAAACAAGAGAAAAACTTTATTGAAAAAACATCAAAAACCGCTTAACAATTATATTCATATAAAAATATATTCATAAAAAATCTGATGATGTATATAATATATATAATTCATATAAAAATATATTCACAAAAAATTAGATTATATATATAATATATACAATCAGATTTTTTGTGAATATATTTTTATATGAACTAACAGAGTTAACATGAATTAAGAGAGTTAGAGTTAACAGGTGTTCGAGTTGGGATTTAACTGTATTGTTAAAATAAAATTATAAAAACTTATTTCAGAAATGTAGTGTACGAAGAGTAAACTTTAGTCAATGAAAAACACATAAAACTTTATAGTTTATACCGCTGTGATGATGAATGATTTTTTTTCGTTGGATTTTAGTTGTATGAACGAGTACCACTCTTTACTGTTTTTTTACACATTGCCAGTAAACTATCTACACCTGTTACCGATGGTTGAAAAAGGGTAAAAAAGGGGTGCTCTTATATATTTAAGCTCCAATTTAAATTAAATAGTTTGTTAAGACTAAAGGTTTAATCTTCCAAATGTCTAGAATCTATTTTTATTGAAGCTATAAAGCTTGACAAAAAAAATAATTATAATCTACTGCATATACGGACATCCCTATTTAAATTGAGACGAACTCACTACTTATTGTTTAACTCCTTTATTAGATAAACTAAATACTAAAAAAAAAGTATTCTTCTTATAAGAGACTATAATATTTCAAGTATCTTGGCTCACTAACCTCCTTTTCTCTATATCCATTTTACGCAAAACAGCTAAATCGCAGACACTTATTGATAACATATTTATAATCTTCCATTCACCTGACCAAATCTCTGGCAATCTCACTATATCAATAACTGATCATATAGCACAGTTTATTCCTAGTAAAACTAGTCAGACAAAAAATTTATTGACAAAGAGCACATGAACTAATACAAGTAAAAACCTTGGTGGAATTAATAACAATAACATTATAAATAACATAATAGTAATCAATATGCAAACAGTGTCAGATATTTACAAACAGTGTTTGTAAATATCCATGAAGTTTAATAACTATTTCAGAAATATTTTGATTGATTTTGTAAACTGTGGCAACTGTAACTTGTTGATTTGAAAATGTTATGAATGAGTCCATCAATAACATTTTCAAAAGTATTCTAACTTTCACAAAAATTCTAACTAAGTATATATGTAAAAAACTATTTTGTTACTTTATGAGGTTTATTAATCTATTTATAACTATATTGCTTTTGAAACTATCAATAATAAAAGCATATTAAAAAAACTTGTGTTATTAAAAAGTAAATTAAGCAAAACTAATCTCAACATGGTTAAAAAGTCACAAATTGTTTTCTTTTTTTTTTTCAAAAATCTAAGTTCTCAACTAGGATGGCAAAAGTCATCCGAAAGTCACTTCAAACCAAACTAAAGATCATAGTGTCAGCAGAAGCAGAACCAATTTGTAAAAAGGTTTAGTCTACACCTAAAGCCAACACCAGTTTCCTGAAAACTCATATTAGGTCTTTGCATCTAGACCAAGCCAGAGCAGTTATTTCATTTTAAAGATGAAGCATGGAATTAAAAAATACTGGATGACACTATGAAGTATGCTAAGTTATACAACCAAGCGGAGGAGAGCACCACTAACAAGAAAAGAAACCAGCTTAACCACTCAGACTCAACTTTATCTAATTATGGAGTTAATATTTTTGGTTTACCGGATAAAATCTAATTTAATTTGACTAAATTTTTGGAAAACTATTGTTTCGGTTTGTACGTAGAGTTTGTACGTAGCGCTGAACTAATTTAAAATAACATTTTTATTGGGTTCTCCTACGAAACCTTGGACAGGTTTTCAAAATCCATCAAACAGTGAGGATACCAAAGTGTTTTGCTAAAAAACAGTAATGTTGATTTGTCTGACTACCTAACATTAACAAACTAACTTAGTAATTTTAAATAAGTTAACATTTTGATAAATATTATTTTTATGTAAATTTATAAATATTGTTTTTGTCTTTGCACCATTCATGTTATATTTTTTTGTATAACTGATTAAAATAGAATATTTGTTTCTATAGAAATAAATAAGGCGATTCCAATAATACTCAAATATTTGATGTTAAAAATCGCTAAATGCATCAAAAGTACTTAACTTTAAAGTTGTTATAAAAAATGTAAAACTTAATCATTTTATCTGAATTTTTTTTAGAGTGTCATATACCAGTAGAAGTATAGGAAAATAAAATAAAAAATATTTTTACCCCTCGGCTGGTATAAATAAAATACATGAAAAAATGCCTTTTTTCGAAAAATTTACGATCAAAATATGAACGTATGTAATCATTTAAAACAAAAAAGTAAATTTTTCAACCTAGCACGACTTGGTTATTGGTATTTTTTTAAATTTTAATTTTTTTTTCATTTATGTATATTTTATAGGAATTATAAATATTGAGAATATTAGAGCAAAAAAAAAAAAGGTTGCGTGTTAGAAGCTAAAAATTTATCATAATGCATGAATATATACAGCTGAATTTTTTTATGAGGTATTACCAGAACTTAATAAAGATTAGCTTGAGAAGAATGTCTTTTAAACGAACAGCGAATTTAAAGTTACAAAAAGCAATATTTGTTTGCATTTTTTTATAGTTATTTTTGAAGGTTTTTAAAAAAAATTTAAAGTTATAGCTTCCGTACTTTTTTAACGAATATTTATACAAAAATGACGTTTTTAAAATCCATAAAGCTGTCCTATTAATAAACATAAATAACAAACCTATATATTTTCAGATAATAAAAGCAGTATAATTTATTAAAAAGAAAAATAATAAAAATTTTATAATGTTTTGTAAAGTTTTGAATTACGGCCAATTTTTTGAGGTTTTGCACCACTGTGCGATGGGTTGAGCGGTCTGTGTGACCCCCCCCCCTCCACTAACCTTGAAAAAAATATGTATGCTCAAATATAATTTTCCAACCCGACTTTAGACAACAATTTATAAAATAAAAAATTAAATAAAAGAATTTAAATTAATAATATTTATTTTTAATCAATAAATCAAAAAATAATTAGTTTAAAAGTTAATAAATAGAAAGATAAGTTGTTTAAAAGCAATGAGTTTTTAAATTTCTCATTCAAAAGAAAATTTATTTCTGAAAAAAAACGTGATGTCGTATTCAGTTTAATATTGCGTGAAATAGCCGTACGAACTAACGAGGACAACCTACAAATAAAATATAAATATTAACATGTCTAAAGAGGCAGGCCAAAACTTAAACTGTCTAGTAAATGACTGGGAAAAGCAATACTTGGGTGATATGGATGTCACATGGAATCCAATATCTTTAACTCATGTTATATATCCAAAAGGTGTTGAAATTTAAAAAAATACCAATTGTTTCCTTGTTAGTGCTAGTGTTTCATAACTATAAACAACATAAAAGTTTCAAGATTGTGTGTGTGTGTGTGTGTGTGTGTGTGTGTGTGTGTGTGTGTGTGTGTGTGTGTGTGTCTGTTTATACTATATAGTACACAAAATTATTTAAGAATAATATTTAAAACATATGTATTTTTTTTTAAGGTTTTATATTGGGATAGATGATATTTTTAAATTAACAAATGATCAAGCTGATTTTAAATTTGATCAATCTCACTGATACACGCTGAAAAGTAAAAAATTGGGTCTTGTTCTTATTTATTTTAACAGTTTCCTAATGAAAAAGACTTTTATTTGACAAAGATTTCTAATTTTATTAAAAAAATTAATTTATTGCAAGTTCCGGACTTTAAAAAACATTTAAGTTTTGAATAAATTTGAAGTAATAGGCTGATTAGTTGTTTTGTATTGAATAGCCAAAAATAACCTAAAATAAAGTCATTTAAATGTTGAATGTTTTCAAATCTTTTATGACTCATGTGATTAGAAATTGAAGATATTAGAAATTATTATGTGAATTAAACTTATATAAACTTGAAACAAATTTTCTAATTACTTTGTTTAGAAAATGTTGATATCACTCATACAACTTGAAAATGTGTTTCTTGCATCAACATATTCCTATCATTGGTTTCAAACTTCTTAAAATAATTTGAAAGCCAAACTATTTCAGGAATATCCAAGGTGCTTAGGTTTGTTAAATCTAAGTGTTCATTTACAAAAAGCTCTCATTAACAATTTATGTTGTATAAATTTTCCTTTTATAAAATTTAATCAGAGTTTGTGAAAATTATGTCTATGCAAAAGTTTGAATTTTAAAACCAGTACAAAAAAAATTTAAAGAATATTTCTTTGACCTAATAACAGGTCTTGTTATGACATAAATTTTGTTAAAATTAAATTTATAATAAATTTTTCAAATAAAGTTAAAAAAATACAATCTTTTTATTTTATAACTTTAATTTTTGATAAAACATTTAAATTCAAATTAAGAATTCAAATGTTCCTTTGAAAATACTTCGAAAAAAATTTAATTTTTAATTATCTACAATTTTTATTTTATTTTTTGGTCGAGTTTCAAAATAAAAAAAACTATTTGGATTTGAATGAAAAGCAAGTTTATATTACTATTATAAAGATTATGATTTTTAGTTAAATATCTTACTTTGGATACCTTTGGATTGGAAGTTTACTCCATCAAGCTACTTATATAAGTAGAAAAAATTTAAAAAATTATATAATTTTTTAAATTTTTGTTCTAAAATATCCACTTAATAGTAGAGATAAGTCTGATATAAAAGTTAAATATTTAACTTTGTGTCATTTTATATGGGTTGTTTTATGACAGAGAATGATGAGGAAAAAAAAAGAAAGCATTTTTTTAATGATAAAATGATGGTAATTTTGGTATTTTTTTATTATCATCTCTTACCATCATCGTATTTTATTACTGTTTTTCAGGTGACACTTTTGCTAAAATTTTGGCATATAGCAGCTTGTTTCCTATTTTTGTTGTTTCTGGATTTATCACACTTATTATATTTCGTAGAGAACTGCATACAGTTAGTATTATCATTAAGAATTTTAAGATTTATAAAGAAATATTAGATAGATGTTTTGTAAGGTTTTTTATTTTTAGGTTATTTTTTAAACTTAAATATTATAATTATAAAAATCTTTTTAGATGGTATTTTTTGGTGGAGTTCTTATCAATGAAATTTTGAACTTAACACTTAAGCATACATTAAAGTCACCAAGGCCTTGTCAGCGTAAGAGAATTATAATTTTTTTATTAGTATAAAGTTATTTGAAAGTAATCGCTTTTTTGATTTTGCTTGTATATATATTTAAACAGTTTTAAAATGTATTCTGCAAAATAGAGTGCTCAATGTTCTTAAAAGAATAGAGCAATTATAAAGTAGTAGAAAATCACTTAGCAAAAATTTTTTTCATTTAACACTGTTTCATGGGTCAGGGCAATAACATCCTTTTTGCCATGTATAATAACATCCGTTAATTCAGTAAAGAAAAAAAACGGACGATCTTACACAAAAATGTGCGAATGTTATTTCACTACTTAACGGATGTTGTTGGACAGATGTAGTAATCTTTTCCCCTGTTTCATCAATAAAGAATCATCAGAAATGAATTTCTGATGAGTCAGAAAAAACAGAAATGAATTTCTGATGAGTCTTTATTGATGAAACACTATGTTAAAATGTTAAATAAAAAAAATTTTTGCTTAGTGATTTTC